GTGGTTAGCAGCTTCGTGACGAGGAACGGAATGTACCGACCTGCGTAGCTCTCGCCCGCAATGTAAAATGGGCGGCCCTGGTACGTCGAGTACGTGTCGAAGAAGACGCGGAGGAACTCGTGGGTGTTGGCGGCCGTCGTGTTGTCGTTGTAGTCGGCTGCGTGTAGCAGAGGCCTGCTGAACCCGACGCCAGCCGGAGCTTCGAGGAACACCATGTTGGCATGGCGGTTCCAGGCATACTTGTTGTGTTTCACCGTTAAGTCAGATTGGACGACGAACGGCCCGAGCTCCGTGAAGAATCCTCCGAGGGACGAGCACCCGGGGCCGCCGTTGAGCCACAGCACGATCGGATCGTTTGCAGGATCGTGCTGGGACTCGACAAGCCAGTAAAAGAGTTCTTGGCCGGCAAGAGGCAGGGCCAGCCGACCAGCGTACTGCTTAAAGTTGATGGGAGCCGAGTCGTTGTAGCCTGGAAGCGAGTGGATTTGATGGTCTTCGGGAGGCGAAGACGCAGCGAAGAATGCGGTGAGACCAACGGCAGCGACAACTCTGAGCCTCAACATGACTCTGGGAGGCTGGGAGGATCGAGTGGCGCCGGATCGACCAAGGCGGGATGGAAAGATCGCAACGTCGAAACTTGAAGTAGGTTAAAAGTACGTTTTATGTTTCGACGTGAAGTTGAAGCACGGGAACCTTCAACTTATCACGTTCCGAGGGCTGGCTGGATCCATCGTCCGCGATCGGCCGTCCAGCGCCGACACACGAGCGCACGAACTCTTGCCTTCTCGCTTGTCCACATGCTGCTTTGATATCTTGTACTCGCTCTCGCGAGTGTTCGTGTCTGGCATGTCGAGGTGCGATGTGGTTGTCTCACCTTGAACGAGGTAAAGTCCAATTGGTGGATATAACGCAGGCGCTGACCACATTAACGTGGATTTGAGAGGGTTTTTTGGGACCCACCAAGGAGGCGTTCGATGGCTGGCTTTGGCATTTTCAACTTTTCACGACACCGATGAAACTCTCCGTCCTGAAGGCTGCCGCGGCGCTGTGTGCGACTCTAACGCCCGCTGCTGCGTTGGATGAGGTGCTCACGGCGCACAAGGTCGAGTCCCTCCCGGGGTACAACGACCCCAAGCCCATCAACTTCAACCAGTACGCAGGGTACTTGGTTCTCCCGTCCACGGGGCAAAAGATGTTTTACTGGTTCGTCGAGTCGGAGACGAACCCGCAGCTGGATCCGATCGTGCTGTGGCTCAACGGCGGCCCCGGGTGCTCATCCCTCGGCGGATTCTTCACCGAGCTCGGGCCGTTCGTCGTCGAGAGCGACTTGACCGTCAAGCGCAACCCGTACGCGTGGAACCGCAAAGCCAACATGTTGTTCCTCGAAAGTCCCGCGGGCGTCGGTTTTTCGTCCCCGCTCTTGAACGAGACCGACTACAACGACGTGACGACTGCCGCCCGCGCCCACGAGTTCCTTCAGCTCTGGTTTGCGTCGTACGCGTCGTTCAAGAACCGCCATTTTTACATCACCGGGGAAAGCTACGCCGGGCAGTACATCCCGTACCTGGTGCACAAACTCGTCAAGGAACCGCTCGACGGGGTCTCGCTTGTCGGGATGGCCATCGGCAACCCTGTCACGGACGACACGATCGATGGCAATGCGTACATGGACTACTACTACTCGCACGGGATGATCTCGCTGGAAACGTACGAGGACATGACGGCCAAGTGCCAGGACAAGATCGGTGTGTACGCGGGCCTGTATGCCACGTCGCCGTGCATTGTCGACTTGAACGTGACGTGCTCGAACGCGTGTGAGGCTGCCGTGAAGGAAGGAGTGATCGCGGCCGACGTGAGTCTCCTCGACCCGTACTTTATCTACGGCGACATTTGCCTCCTCCGCAACAATCAAGTCGGGGCGTTGCAGTACCGCAAGTCGGCCGCGTTGCCGCGCCGGCCGCACACGCCATGCGCGGCCGAGTTTACCAAGGCCTACTTGAACCTGCCCGCTGTCCGCGCAGCCATTCACTCGCACGCAACGATCCCAGCCGAGTGGAACGATTGCAACGACGACGTGGGCAATGTCTACCACCGCAGCCCGTCGAGCTTGCCGCTGTACCCAGACATTTTAGCGACCGAGTTGAAAACGCTCATCTTTAGCGGTGACGCCGACTCGATCGTCAACTTTATCGGGACCGAACGGTGGCTCGGCGGCCAAGGGCTTCGACTCAAAGTCGTCGAGAAGTGGCACGCATGGTTCGGCCCCGACAAACAGCTCGCCGGGTACACGCAAAAGTACGACGGAGTGACGTTCAAGACGGTCAAAGGCGCCGGCCACATGGTCCCATCGACGCGGCCCCTCCATGGCCTGTACATGTTTGAGTGCTTTGTGTACGGAAACGAACTGTGCGCGACGTTCGACTACCCCAAGGACAACTTGGAGTACCTGAGCGGGATGACAACGAGCTCGGGTGACGACACAACTGGCGCTGCGTCGTCGCCGTCCGCGCTGCCCAGCGGAGCGTGGGCCGTGGCATTTGTGGCCCTCGGTGTCGGTCTGACCGTCTTGGGAAGCGTTGGCTACAAGCACTTTCTCACCCGCCGCCGCCGTCAAGATGAAGCGTCGTCGAGCTTGACCAAGCAGACTGTCCCGACGTACTCGGACTAATCTCGTTCTAACGCGACGATGCTGCGTTTGCTGTGATCGAGCTGTTCTGCATCCAGGCAATGCCATTCCACCACATGGACGACGGAGGTGTGCTGCCCCTAGGATGCTGCGTATTCATTCAGCCACTGTTTTGTGTCTCCAACTCGATGGCCAACGGGACCATGGGTGCGCGCGAGTCTCGATGCATACCGGTAAACTCATGTCGCTCTGCGGCGACCAAAGTCGCTGTTTGGCGCAAACCGTGGATCGATTCGGCTACACGAGGACTTCACTCTGTATCACATGCTCACCCTCTTCCACTCCTTTCTTTCCTGCAGCAATCATGCACAGAGCCCAAGGCATGCCCGCGACGCATCGTCGGCGTCATGCGTCGCCGAAAGTACAACTGCGGGAATGGTATCCAAAACGCGCGTACGGTTAATAATATTTTATCCGGAATACGATCGCGTGAGGAATCGCGCGAAAATGGACGTGCCCGACGTGGACGACGCGCCGTCGGAAGAAACAATGCACGGGATCAAGCGGGATGCACTGGAATTCGTTCGCCGATGCAATCGGAAGCATCGACGTGCCTTGCGCGACGAAATCGCTCAAACGTCGAGCAACTGTTCTCGACAAATACAGACGGTCGACGACGGGTCATCCATAGGAAACCTCGTTGCGGTGTACACAACGTGGGTGTCGAGCTCGGACGAGCATGCATCGATTCTCCACGAGCGTTTGTTTCATCGACGCCTTGTGCTGACGTCAAATGCAGTCTTGCATGGGGGCGTTTCCGTGGCAGGGTTGATGGACGACATCGTGGCAGCTCGCCCAGTCCCCGTCATCGTCGCATGGAAGCTCCATGTTCAATGCGCGTTGGATTTCAACCAAGTGCTGTGTCGCCTCGTTTGTCCTGGCGTTCGAAAACGAGCGCATCCTTCTTTGTCCCGTCATATTGATGTCTCGACCCGCGGTGTCCAGGACATCGTGCTTGCCCTCGCGTCAACTCCACCCGCGGCCAAGAACGAGTACTCTGCGATTCTCCGCCACTTCCTCGCATCGTACGTTGATTCTATCGACACGTCGTCCAGAATGTATCACGATCGGACGCCTTCGTCGACTCGTATCGTGCTGCGCGTCGCCATCGACGCGGTCCTGCGATACCTCTGCGACGTCGCCCGCATCGCTGACGGCGCTTCCAAGCATTTTGTTGCCGAAGTCAGCATCTACCTCGATTTTCTGAAGCAAGTATCGCCCGACTTGGCCGCGCATGGCGCCATCCAGACGCTTCTCAAGGCCCAACTTCTCGCCCACGTGCAACTCGCGCCATCGGGTCGCGCAGCTTCGTTGCTGCATCAAGACTTTGCAATCGCGCTTCGACGAGGTTTGACAGAGGCTTCGTTTGCTGCAGTATGTCTTTCATCCATCACGTTCCCAGACGTTCATCTCGATGACGTCGCTCGTGTAGGTGGTACAAGACTACTTCTGGACGCGGCCGTGGCACCTCCACCGGTTCTGGACGCTCGTTTTTGACGCGTTTCATGGCGACGACTTGATCCCGCATGCTCTTGGCGCGGCGCACTCGTTGGCCAGCCATGGTGTCCGCACTCTGAATGCCGCGCATGTCAACGCCAGCGTTTGTCTCGCAGCCCACGTGACGTCGCTGCCGATCTTCCACTCGTGGTTTGAATTGCATTTTGGAAGCGACAAGCCGTCGGCAGATGCACTTATGGGACCACTCGTCGGTGCCAACGGAGCCGCCGATGGCGCGGAAGCCCCTCGATCGGGCAAACAATGCCCTCACCCGGCATCTACGTGCCGCTTGGTCTCGTCGAAGCGGACTATTCAATTTGTCGTGACGTGCTTTGTCGAACGGCTGCCGCACGAAACGTCGCGGGTCCATCTCGACGTGCTCTTCAAAGTGCTCAAGCAGCATTCGAGCATGTACCCGGACTTTGTCCTGCACTACATTCAACTCGCTCGCCGAAAGCTCACCGCGCTCGCCACCGCCGGCGACAACACCGTGGCCATGCCATCCGTTTTCCTGCAAAACCCGCCGACGGTAGACTCGCCACTCGACGTCCTAGAATACATCACGCACTTCCTTGACACGGGTAAAGTATCGGGGAAACTTCGACAGCGCATCCTGCTCCAGGACTCGACGTGGCATGCAAAGCTCAAGCCAGGCCTCTTAGCCGCGCGGGACCTCCACAGCCACGTGCTATCGCTCGGGTGGATGCAGCTGGTCCACACCCTCGCGCGCGACGGCGCGGTCGGACCATCGGAATACGCGCCGTTCGTTGCCAAGATGCACACGATTTTGCAATCTCGCGCGGCTAGGCAAACAGTCGCTGCATCCAGCGTCGTGCACCTCGCACAGGACTTTGTACACGTTGCCACGCGAGCTATCGAACCGTCGCCATCGGATATCGGCGACCGACTCGTTCGTCGGCTCCAGGCAGTCGAAGATGAGTCCAACAAGGTCATCGAATATGTCGACGGCGCCACGATTCTGGCCGTGCACTGGTCGACAAGCCGAGATCTTTTGACCGCCATGTGGACTCACGGCTTGGCATCACATCACGAACGAAGCAAGGCGCTCGAGCACATTCAAACGTTGATCACGAGCGCGCTGGAGATCCACTTGCCAGCGTCGGCATCAGCACCACTCGAGCGGAATGAAAGCGACGATGCTCACACCATCATTTCGCTTGCTCGTCTTGTCTGTGTTGCTGCGAGGACCCACGTCGACGCTGTGACTGCGTTTTTGGATAAACTCGTTCAGCCTCCCATCCTTCAGTGGCATCTTGACCGCCTCCTTCGACTGTGCATCCAATTTGCGACGTGCCTGCCCGGTACTTGCTTGACCACTCGTTCCATTCTACATCGCAGCTGAGCCATTTGTGTGGGCGCGACTAGGCAACGACCGACCTACCGTTCCTCGGAGCGTGCACGGCTTTTTAGCATGGATGCACTTGCGGCACATGTACGGGGGCGTGTTGCACGTTGTGGCCGAGCTCGAGCCGCTTGTGCAGTCGGACGAGTCGGCGGCGCGCAGTCCACATGACACCGCGTTGACGTCGTGGTTGGAATTTGAATTGCACCAGCCGACGCCGCTTTGTGACGAGTCGTCCTCGTACCGGTTTGACTGCTTCACGAGCCACTTCATGCTGCTCCATGAAAGCATTCAAGTCGCTGCCATTACGACGGTTTGCAGCCTTGGAAAGGAACTGCTGCGACACCAAGGTACGATGAGTCCGATGGCTGCATCGATCGATGGTCGTCATGGCCGACTAGCGCACTGCTTTGAAATATCTCCACCAACGTGCCATCCAACGCTTGCTTCAGCCACTCGACTGCCGAATGGACAACTGGTCCGCCCATTATACGTCCAAACACGCCGCGGCTAACGCTCGTTTTCGTAGTTGCACCCCGTGTGGCTGCTGCACGCGCCAACTCGCCCCGAAACGACCTCACCCTTGTGCCGCTTGGACGGTGGGATGGCCCTCTTCCATCAAGTCGTGCCGGTCCTGTTCGCCAACAAGAAAGAGATGAAAGCGGCAAATCTCCTCACGGCCCTCGTCAACACGTTCATCGATGCCGCACACACACTTCTGCTCGCGCAGTCTGCACGGCCCACTGCCACGACGGCCCGAGTCTGCCTTGTTCTCGTGGACCTGCTGCAGGCAGTCCTTGCTCACAGCAATGATCGTGGGGCTACCACCTCCGCGACGAAGCTCCAGCGCACTGTCCGAGCATTCGTGACGACTCATCTCGAAGGACTTGCCCCGTGGCCCCCACGCATCTCGAGCATGCTCCACATTCTGCTACCCAACGTAGCCAACGTCTTCGACTCCATCGCAGACCCGGCCGACGCTTCAGCAACGTGCGACTCGATGTTGATTGCTTCCTTGGTCGTTTCAGTCAAGCACCAGCCCCATCCGCTGCCGAACGTGTACACCCATCTGCACGCCGCCCTGTGCACCCCATCGATGGCGCTTCCACGGCTGTACACCATTGCATCCCTTCACCTCGACGCTGCCATCGACATGACCCTGAACGTGCTTCGCCACTGCATGTCGTGGGCCGAACCGGGCGCGACGCCACGAGCCACAGAGCTCGTGAGGCATCTCCACGACACGTTGTCTGTGCCGCCCAACACACTCGTGGTCCTGGATCGCCTCGTTCGAATGTACTTCGCTTCGTGTTCCAACGAAGGCAGTCCCAGCATGGTCGTTCCCGCCCCGTTTCTCACGACGCTGGTCGAGATGACGCAGCTCGTGCTCGGCCACGATGTCCAGCGCTGCGGCCAGTTGGTGTTGGATTGTGCTATTGTCACGTCGCCGTGTGCAGCAATGTGGTTTCTATTGCTCCAAGTGGACATCGACACATCCGTGGTCGACGATTGCGTCCAAATGCATGGTACTGCTTGGTTGGAGCGCACGTGCATGGCATTCTTGGCCTACCGCCGCATGCCACCGGACAACATCCCGATTCCGTCGACAGCTCACGCCAGGTACATCTCGACAGAGCACTCTAGGCACGGCACAGGATATTTCACGGCGTCGTGCGACTGCTTTAGACTCGCCACCGTGCTCGAAAACGTCCTCGCTAGCGCTCGCCGCCTCGCCGTCCCGTTTGCCACGGCCGAGTACTTGATGCAACTTCGACCGGTGGTGTCCCCCGACCTTCAAACCAAGCTTGAAGCGATTTCGATTCTCGAAGATAATGATGACTTTGCACACGACCCGACGCCGTCTTTCACGTAGCCGATGGTCTGTCAGACTACCCCCATGAGTCGATGAAAACGCCGTGGATGATGTATCAAAATAGCAGCTGCAGCCACCGCATTACAGGCTCGTGTAATCGCCTTGTCTACGACGTCTGCCGAGGCGAGTTTGCGTCCATGCTGCAAACGCTACCACGACTGCGCATGCCCCCATCAGCACCACCGCCACCAATGTCGACCCCATCGAGCTGGCTTGATCAGTGACGCCAATGGCACCTTCCGACGACTGCACGGCTGCAATAATCGGCATTCCCACGTCGCCGCCGACCCCTGTCAGCTTCTCTAGGCCGTCGGACGGGTACACGAACGACTCACACGCTGCATCGCCGTACAGAAAGCACTCAAACATGTAGAGCGCGTGGAGTGGCCGGACCGCCGCGACCATGTGGCCCGCGCCTTTGACCGTTTTGAACGTCAAGTTGGTGTAGTCTTGCGTGTACCCGGCGAGTTGTTGGTCGGGACCAAACCACGCGCGCCAGTCGCGGACAACGGTCAAGTTGAGGCCCTCGTCTGTAATCCACCGTTCCGTTCCGATGAAGTTGACGACCGAGTCGGCATCGCCGCTGTAGATCAATGCCTTCAGCCCTACGATAGTGCAGTGTGTGTGCCATCCAACCACACATTCGAACTAACGACTGCGCGTACCTGCCGACAAGATGCGCGGATACAGCGGCAGCGCGGACGGACTGCGCGAGTACATGCGCGTAACGTTGTGGTTGCAGTCATTCCATGGTACGTGGCCTTCACCAACATGGAGCGCCATTTGAACTGCATTTAGTTGCAAATACGCCTTGGTAAAAACGTCCTGGCACGGCCCGATGTCCCCGCGGGGAAGAATCGCGCGTTGGTGCAGCGGATAGTGCAATGCATTCGCTTGTCCGTTTTCGAGCAAGCACACGTCGCCGTAAATGTTGTACGGATTGAGCTTCTGCTTGTCGACTTGGAGGATGCCAGCATGGAGCGCCGTCGTGCACGCAGCCGAGCAGTTGTGCGACGTGCTCAGACACTTTCGGATCACTTTGCCGACACACGCCGCAGTCGTTTGCTTGTAGTTTTGACGAGAGATCATGCCGTGGGTGTAATAGTAGTCCATGAGCGCGTTGCCGTCGACCTTGTCGTCTGTAGCAGGGTTTCCGATCGAAAATCCGCGCAACGTGACATTCGTGATGGGCGACGACACGAGTTTGTGCACGAGATACGGGATGTACCGACCTGCGTAGCTTTCGCCCATGATGTAGAACGGTCGGCCTTGGTACGTCGGATACATGGCGAAGAATCGCTCGAGAAAATCGTACGCGTTGTCGGTCGTCGTGTCTTCGTTGTACTCGGCAGCGTCCAGTAGGGGAGACGAGAACCCGACCCCTGCGGGGGACTCGAGGAAGAGCAAGTTTGCTTTGCGGTTCCATGCATAAGTATTGCGTTTCACACTCAGATCTCCTTCCACGACGAACGGGCCAAGTTCTGTGAAGAGGCCCGCAAGGGACGAACAGCCAGGGCCGCCGTTGAGCCACAGGACGAGGGGATCCGTGTGGGGGTCGCTCTCCGAGTGCACGAGCCAGTAAAAGAGCTCGACCCCGGGTTTCGACAACGGGATGCGCCCCGCGTACATATCAAAGTCGATGGGATGCTTGTCGTTGTAGTTGGGCAGGGACTTGACTCTGTGGTGTTCATTCGATCCCGCGTTGTTGTCGCCATTGGCATGGACCAGACGAGCCAAGGCATGTCCTTGTCCTGCACCAAATGGAACTGGGGCGCTTGCCATCGCCGCCATCACGATGTTCGCCAGCCACACCATGCATCGTCGCATGCTAGATGCGCGCACAACCAAGAAAATCGAAGAGTATCTTAACGCTATCAATCTGCGCCGCCGAGCATCAAATTCCGGATAAACATTCGGTTACCCGTGCCCTTTCGACCAAAATAGAGATCTTTCAGATGTGATGTATCCGTACATTATCCGGAGTATGGCATGCGCAAATGGGCATGACGGCCATGCGACTACAACGTCGCGTAGCACGCCTTACGGCGATTGAGACGCGCCTTTCGCGCAGCAGAGACTGCCATGGAAACTCCAACTGCAGCGAATACCACCACGAGCAACCGAAACCACCAATGGTTCCACAGGCTGACTGACTCCGCTGCTCCGCCGTCGAGGCGCTTGTCATCCGTGCAATATCCAAGTCTTCACCGCTCAAACACTCCGCTCGTGTAGGAGGGTACGTGAAGTTGCCGCAAACGTCGTGGCCAAACAAAAAACACTCAAACATGTACACGGCATGCAAAGGTTGATCGGCAGGGACCATGTGCCCCGCTCCCTTGACCGTCTTGAACGTGAGGCCGCCGGCGTACTCCTCCGTGTACCCGGCCAACTGGTTGTCCGGGCCAAACCAGGCCTGCCACTTGGACACGACTTTCAATTGGAGCCCCCACGACGATATCCACCGCTGGGTGCCCATAAAGTTGACCACCATGTCGGCATCGCCGCTGTAGACGAGCACCTGGATGCCGTGGGCAAGGATCGGCGGGTACAGCTCCATGGACGAGATGCTTCGAGCGTATTGATGCCCGATGGCATTGCTGCAGCTTCGCCAGACGGTAGGATCGGTTTGGCTAAGATGGAGCACTGCTTGGACGGCAGGTTGTTGTAGGTACTCCTCGGTGAAGGCGTTTGTACATGGCGTCGTGGCAACATCCACCAACGGGCTCGGCAGCGGGCGCAGATTGCGGTACTTGAATGGATATACTTCGGATATGTTCATCAAGCATACGTCGCCATAAATATAGTACCGGTTGAGCGCTGGTTTGTCCATGGCGAGGATGCCATCTTGCAGCGCGTGTTCGCACGCGGCCGTGCAGTTGGCGGTCGATACAACGCACCGCCCGACGTCGCGCCCGCACGCGGCGTTGACGGCCTCGTAGTTTTCCAGCGAGATGAGGCCGTGCGTGTAGTAATAGTCGACGTACGAGTTGTGGTCGATCAAGTAGTTGGTCGACGGATTCCCAACGAGGAACCCGCGCAGGTTGACGTGCGGCAGGGGCGTGGTTAGCAGCTTCGTGACGAGGAACGGAATGTACCGACCTGCGTAGCTCTCGCCCGCAATGTAAAATGGACGGCCCTGGTACGTCGAGTACGTGTCGAAGAAGACGCGGAGGAACTCGTGGGTGTTGGCGGCCGTCGTGTTGTCGTTGTAGTCGGCTGCGTGTAGCAGAGGCCGGCTGAACCCGACGCCAGCCGGAGCTTCGAGGAACACCATGTTGGCATGGCGGTTCCAGGCATACTTGTTGCGTTTCACCGTTAAGTCAGATTGGACGACGAACGGCCCGAGCTCCGTGAAGAATCCTCCGAGGGACGAGCACCCGGGGCCGCCGTTGAGCCACAGCACGATCGGATCGTTTGCAGGATCGTGCTGGGACTCGACAAGCCAGTAAAAGAGTTCTTGGCCGGCAAGAGGCAGGGCCAGCCGACCAGCGTACTGCTTAAAGTTGATGGGAGCCGAGTCGTTGTGGCCAGGAAGGAAATGGACCTCGTGGTGGTCGAAAGCGGGCGACAGATCCAGTGGGAGAGCTGCCAGCGATTTCATGAGGGCGATCAGAGCGGTGAAGAGGAAGGCTTTGGGTGGCATA